GACCCGCTGGATTACAAAAGGCTGGCAGCAACAAGTGCTTCTTGCATTGGAAATGAAATGGCTTATTTACAGAGATGACATAGCTATATTAATTGTGAGAAGTTATGATTAAAGGGACAGGCTTGCGCTGCTTAAGATGTTAATTAGAAGAAGCTCATTTTCGAGAAGGAACAAATGCATCTTTTTAGTTGGCTGTGGGTTTACTGAAGTGCTCTGCTGACTGTGTTCTAAACCATCTTCCTTTCCTGGCCATTTTAAGTGGTTTTTCCTCATGCATTAGCCTGATGTCAAGGCAATAAAAGAATCCGGTATCAAGGTTCACATTCAAAATTAAAATTGGTGATCACCTCCATGGGTAGCAAATTCACCTTGTTCCTTGCTGTATGACACTGGCCAAGCACCAGCTGGGGCGTGCTGTCATCCCGGAGCGCTGAACGGTAATTGGAGTTACTAATTGGAGGCACGACCCCTGAAATAAAGATGCTGTTATTACATCTGCAATCATCTGTGCGGGGCCCTTGAACCTGCCCTGCTGACACTGCCCGTTTTCTCCCTTTTTCCCTGGTGAGGTTCCCAGGCAGAAGCAGCTCCAGCATGGCTCCTGCAAGACCCCTTTTGCCCTCCCACAGGCCCTTCCTCCTGCTTACGGCTCCTCACGTTCCCTCCCCTGGTCCCACTCCAGAGGGAGCAGCAAGCCTTAGGCTTTCCAGGGAGATGTCAGTCTGATTTCGCACCGAAATGCCCAGGGACTTGTCACGCCTGAGTAGGGATTTTAAGGTTGAGCTGACCATCGCTCTTCGGAGCATCTCTGAGTGACTGCTCCTTTGCAGTGCACACTGAGAAGAGGAGAAAGAGAGGTGGTGAGCAGGGTGGTGGGCAAGATTTGGGAGCATGGAGGTCTTAATAGGAGGGTGCAAGGGCAGGTGGTGTGTTGGCTTGGGGTGGCTTGGGGTGAAGGAGGATGGAGAACACAGAAGAAGGCACGAAACAGAAAGATAAGAAAAATGGGGAATTGCGAATGAGGCAACCTTTCAGCCTTTTAATGATCAGATGCCTCTCTTGGAGCCTGCTGCCCCTTCGCGCAGGGCTTGCCTGTTCATTTTTTATTGCAGATGGGTGGTTTTGGTGCTCGTGAAATGCATTACACACTGATTTTCTTATTTTTCTGCTATGACACTCTTGGGTTATATGAAGGAAAATGAAGCTTAATGGTGTTCTTGATTTTATAGATCAGCTTGTGGCTTAAGCAAAGTACCCACCCCCTGGAGGTCTTATTTGCTGTTCTGTTTCTCCTGCAAAGTAATTTGAACTTCTCCCTTTCTTCCAGTGGCTTGTTAGGCTGCCCTGGATAAGGCTCAGCCAAGTGAGGAGGGATATCCAGCAGCGCTGGGAGCTGGGGGTATGTTCTGCAAGGATAGCGAGAGAGGTTGTGATTCACATCTTAAACAAGGCAGGGTTTTACAAAGCTGCTGAAGTCTCAGGGAAGCTTGAAGCATTAGTGACCCTGAAGGGATTAAAGAGAGTTTAGATTTTAGCAGGCATTTCACTAATGAAATCACAGGTTTATAATTTCATTTCACTTCCAAGGCTAGATGCTAATCGAAGCACATCCTTCCCTTTCTTCTTACAGGGGTGCGCGGATAGTTCAATTAATGTCATCAGCAGCGAGGAAGCATAAACAGCCAAAGGCACAAAATGCTGTGCCTGCGTGGCTTTCACAGAAACACGGCAGGAAAATCTTAAAGGGATGAAAATGACTTTTCCTTTGTACGAGACGAGCAAGCCCTCAGTGTGTTTGCACTTGTGACCCTTCTGCTTTAGTCCTAATACGGCTTTTTACTGAGCGCTGGCCTAAGATAACCTGCTCCTGCAGTGTTTACAGACTGCTTGTAAATGGTGCGTGCAGGCAGCCCGGTCCTGCCGCCGGCTGCAAAGCCTCTGCCTCCGACAGAGATAGAAAGGACTTGCCGATGTAGTGAACCCCAACGCAGGTGTTGCTGTATTCTCCACCCTACTGAAGCCAAATACTGAAAACGCTCTCTATCTTTAATGTTATTACACATTATGTGGCGCTCTTCCTTGGCCGTGTGTATGTGACAAACGGGAATGAGAGTGATGTCTCTGTTTGAGAATGAGCGCGGCCATTTCTGAGCTAACGTGCATCGGCAGCGTGTCGGTGAAATGCTACGTAGCAGTTTTAGAGGCAAAGAAGTCCTTCAAATCTAGATTAGAAATCACCGCACCAGCACCATGAATTTACAAGGAGCCGTAGGATATGGAGGTGAGGGAAGAGGGAAACAAGGAAAACAAAAGAGGAAACTGAGAAAAAGGTGCGGAGAAATAGAGAATCACAGAATGGCAAGGGTTGGAAGGGACCTCAGGAGATCATCTAGTCCAACCCTCCTGCTAAAGGAGGTTTGGGAAGAGCTGAGGGATTCTTCCTCCTGCCTTTTTTTTCAGGCATGTCTGAAGTTCCGTTGTGGCTATCATGAATTCTTGTCATCACAAATATGTAATTTTATCCTGGCTTTCGATATTTCAAGCTTTTCATCGGGGACAAGATGAATCATTATATATTTGAGAACATATAATGCAGAATTCTAGAAATACATTCCATTCAAATGAATTAAAATGGTTTGGTTTACAACCCAAGGAGGGCATTGCTTATTTTTCAGTCTTCTGATTAATCTGACATCATTTTTATCTGACTGACCATTCCAGGTAATTTAGGTAAAATAGAAACCCATGTAAACTTGCTTGTGTTTTATCCAGGATAAGAGCATTGCTATCTTCTGATGACCTCCTGTTGGTCCAACAGTAGAAACATGGTAAATACCACAACCAAAATACATTCTGTATCAACTTCATGTTTTACTGGTGATGATGACCTTCGGTACTCATCAACCTTATCAGAAGGTATTGTTGTTCATTATATTTTACACAACATCCCTTAAAGGTGCCATGGTACAGAAAGTCTGCAACCTAGACTAAATATTAAGCTATTTTGATTCCTGAAATAGTCAGTCCCAGCAGTGATTGTGTAGTCTTTACTTTAGGGAGTTAAAGCCATACAACAGCATCCCATAAAGTTGTTGCTAGTGATGCAGTGTTGATTATGATGATGGCTGCTGACCTTACTAAATTTTTACTATATAGGTGACATGAAAATTCACTGCTTTATTTGACAAGTGTGTTGTATAGTTTTTACTAGTAGGTACTGACGATTCCCCCTTCCCTTTTTCTACCCATGAGAAAAAGTAGTCAAAGTAAAATTTCATTCTTTTCCCCAAAGACTCGTTGAAGGGTTTATAAAGAAACAGAATCCATTGTAGTTCTAAGTTATTTTTTATCTTATCTGATCTACTCTTTCCTGCAGGATAACGCCTTTCTATTATAACCAAAAGATTGGCTTTCTCATTTATGTAACTTTTATAGTTCCTTCCAAAGAATTATCTTGTGGCTCTGGCTGAAAACTGTTTTGGCTGGTTTCATCAGGTTCTAAAGGGACCAAAGCAAAAGATGTCCCATCTGTAATGTGAGATTACTCCTGCTGTTATAAAAATACTGTACCACAACTTTGAGGAGCTGCTCTTAAATGCGTAGCTTTGAAAAGGGAAAGAAACTAAAGATCATGAGAAAAAAAAGACTTAATTTACCAAGCTGTATTTCATTGAAGACCTGCATTTACTCATTTTTGATAAGGTGGAGCTTAACTAGATGAGATTATATGAGAAGCATTATTATGCAAAGAGTCCAAGTCTGATATCATTAAGGACATAAGGAAGATGGCAATTCTCAGGGATGTTGCAGCATTGTTGTTCTTCAATATTGTACCAGAAGTTTCATACTTAAATTGGAAAAGACTGATGGACCTAGCTCTCTGCTAAATAAACTGTCCAAGTACTCAAGCACACCTCTTGTCCAAGACAGGAGCGACCCTGGTGAAAATCAGAGTGGTTCCTGGCTTCTCTAGATTGTAATGGCCCCTTCAAAACACCTGTGGGTGTTTTTTTTTCACAGTTCAACACACCTCTCTGTGCAGCGGGAGATCCCCAGCGCAGCGGCCAGCCTCGCTGTATCTCCCTCACACACGTCCTTGCCTCCTTCTCAGCTCAAAACACCTGTGGGTGTTTTTTTTCACAGTTCAACACACCTCTCTGTGCAGCGGGAGATCCCCAGCGCAGCGGCCAGCCTCGCTGTATCTCCCTCACACACGTCCTTGCCTCCTTCTCAGCCAAAGCACAGGAGGAGGAGGCACAGCTCCGGCTTCACCACTTTGTGCCTGGATCATACGCATCTTCAAGAAGAAGCTGGCCATGCAAGTGGCTTCCGCTGAGTTCAGTAGGACTAAGATTTGGGCCAAGTCTGCTGTTGATATCTGTGGTGAAAAGATGGGGCTGGGGTTTTGTTTGCTTTGCCTTTATGATGTTACTGTGAGAAGTTACCATATTTCATGTGCAATCCGCCTACCTGGCTATTCCCTGAGGCTTTTTCCTTCCTCCTTGCTTCAGGAACAAGCCATGGAAATGCTGCATGGAAGCAGTGATCCTGTGCTGATTCCGTGTGTCATCTCCTATTCAGTAGCTGAATAACAGCTGGCTGCTGGCTTTGTAGAAACTAGAGGGTACATAATTCAATTTTTCCATTCATGTTCCAGTTCCTCCTTGGGAATTCCCCTTGGGGATAGATTTGTCTGCTCACAAACTGCGCCCGAGATAAAGAACCTAAGAGACCAACTTACTGCAAAATGATCCCTAGGAGGAATGGAAATCTTGGCTTGTGAAAGATCACCAGAAAAGTGGCAGTGGGGTCACAGAATGAGGCTGCACCAGGGAAAAAAAACATTCTTGCCTTCTGTGTTGGGTTTTGTGCTGACGGTCCCAAAATCTCTAACTTTGCATATTTGCCTTAATGAAAACTGAGAAATGAGCTTGGTTCATTTTTTTTTACCAGGCAATTTATATGTGACCTCAGCACCTTTCTTTTTTCTGTTGTTGCAGAGGCATAGTAGTAGGCGGTTGTGTACTTTTCCCTGATGCAGCTAGTAAGAAAGGACACATATTTCAAGGTGGGTTATAATATTCCTTGGCTGACTGCAAATTCTGAGATTACCGAAGTAACAGAATTGAGGTAAATGTCATGTTATCCCTTGGCTTAATGGAAAATAATTAAGATAATCACTGACTTTATTGAAGGATGTGGGTTTGCTGCCTGAAGCATAAGAAGCTGCTTTTTAATCTCCAGTAAAAATGGACAGCCCTTCTCTGTTATTAAGTATTGCCTACCGTGTGGAATCCCATGCACATAATGCCTGTAGTTCTCCTTGTTTGTCGTGTTAGCAACGATAGAGAGTCTTGGGCAATTGGCACTGGAGGTCTTGAGCTGTGCGGCCAACGAGTGGGCCTGAAGTTCAGAGATGTGTTTGACTTGGCTACTGTGCTGAGCCTTCAGTTCTCACGATAATCTTCACTGGACGGAGGAGTAAAACCACGTAAGAGCAGATGCTCTGCTGCTCTTGTGCTGCTCCAGCAGTGCAAAGAGGGGACAGGAGTGAAATCTCTTTTTGTGAAGCGCCCTGGGTATGGGAGCACTGCAGGGGGGCAGAGGCTGAGGGTAGGCGATGGCTCTGGCACGCGTGGCACGTAGTTTTTTGGGCTGGGTTCTGGCCATCAGGTCACCTCATGGAAGTTGGAGCTTGGTGGGGGAGCTCAGCACAGTGACCTGGACTCGCATAAAATCAGCCGTGTATGGAGCTGGGAAAATGGATTTGTCTCTGGTGACACCACGGCGTACCCTGCCTCTGCTAGCGGGGGCAGCCTTCAGCCAGGGGGTTGAAGGGAGAAATTCAGTCATCAACTGCAAGAGCCCTTTTACCACCTCCAGCGCTCCCCGTCTGGCTGCTACAGCATCACACCGAGCCCTTCGGTGGAGGGAATGATTTGGCCTGGGGAAACGGGGATTTATTTTGAAGTGTCTTCTACTGTAATATCTTTCTTCTCTCTGACTGCACCACGGCGGCACTTCACACTTATCCTGGAGGAAGTAGCTGAGGCTCTCTGATACTACTCTTTTAAACTCCAAACATTAAAGCTACAGTGCGATGATTTTCAAATTTTCCAGGCATCCCTCCCACCGGCATTAATTGCCCCCCTGCTGTTCCCGTTGCAAAGCTGTTTGCTCTTTCAGCATGCAGTGCTTGCTCGGCACTGCACTAAACCTTTGTTGCTTTGCAGTAAAAGAAGAAAAAAAAAAGCTTCAGTTTATGCAAATGACATCGCAATGAGTTTGATAAAGTGATAAACAGTCACATTTTATGATTGCAACTGTCGGGTTTTTGTTTGTTATTTTACAGTTAATTTTGTGGAAGTAGAGGGCTTTGCAAACTCCCTTCTGGCGTCAGCGCAGTAATACATGGCTCCTGTAACAGCGTTTTAAGAATTCGGTAGGGCCACCAAGCCAACGTGGTAGGGGGATCACATATATCCAACAGGGACACATCCAGTGCCCCTTTTCCCTGTGGTAGAGCTCCCTCCCAGCTCATTAATCTGCCTGTACCTAGGAGCTCATCTGCTGGTTTATTGACTATGTCTTTGGATGGCAGTTTGGGTTCATGCCCTTTTCTTTGTTTCCTCTTCCTCTGGGCTTCTGACCCATTATTATTCTTTCCAGTGACTGTACCAGACCTCCAAAATCCCATCGTCCCCCAGAGTAATTACAGATACATTACTGTGCAACTCCCACAGGTAGGTTGGTTGGGTCAAGTGCTTTATTTTTATACAGGTCAGCTACTGAGGCGTGTGATTGACTGCTTCCTCAGTCGCTGCACGACAGGATGGGAGTGTTTCTGTCACCTGGGTATTTCTGCTGTAGCTGGAGGTTGGTCCTCTCCTGAGTCTGGTACCCAAGTGGGGTTGCTAGTGGTCATTACTGGATGGTGTGAGGCCCCCGGGAAAATTACATGTCAAGTGGAAAAACCTAGAAAAAGCACGCCTAGGGCTGCACGAGGAGTAAATGACCACAGTTTGATTGTATCTTTGTCTGACATAGGGTTTGATGACCTACATGCATGTGCTGATCCTGGAGCTCCTGAACATGGATACAAGACACCCAGTGCAGGTGTTTTCTTTGAAAGCGTGGTAGTCCGGTTTCATTGCCAAGAAGGATACAGGCTTAATGGTACTTCAAAAAAACTGTGCGTGAGACACTTTAATGGCTCCCTGAGCTGGAAACCAAGTGATAAACCTGTGTGCCTACAAGAAGGTAAGTCAGTTTTCTTAAAGCACTTTACCAGTGTCAGTTCTTCTCACTTGTCCATGTACCATGTTCCTGTGTCTCAGCACACAGCACAAAAGACTGGCATCCATTTCACTGCATCTTACTTGGCACGTACTTTAGTTTCCCATCCATACCACCCACAAACCCCATGTGTCAGTTAAAGTTACACTGTGAGAGGCCATGTGTGCGCGCATGCGTTGAAAGGGACATAAAGAGATCTGAAGGAAAAGGGATTATATATTTCTCCTTTTTCCTGGTTACAAATCAATGCAGAGAGAAAAAACAACCTCCGGTATCAGTAAACTGATTGTAGCTCCTTATTAAAGCTGTCCACTTAATACTCCTTTCTGTAATAGCTTAGTAGGAAAATATAACGAATTTCCAATGCTACTGCTGCTGCCAATCAGGAGTTTTAAACAATTATATTTTATGACGTGTGCATGATTCAAGTAGGAAAATCAAATACTCCTGGACTGTAGAAGTTTAAAGTCACACTAGAAGTTTACTTTGAGATAATGCAGACTATTACAGCATAAACCAATTTATTTTTATTATATTGGAGTTTTGAAATTGTATTTGGTTTTAAATAATTAGGGCATTAAATTACTTTCTTCTTCTAGGAGTTAGATAGAGGCAGGATTAATTTGAATATAAATGTAAATTTTGGCCAAAAATACATCTAAGCAGCACAAACAATTTATTTCACCAAGTATATTAAAACTATAACTTGTTCTCTTTTAAAATTTATTTTTGGCCAACAGAGCTATTAAAATCAAGAGACATGAAAAGTGTTAGCTAAATCAGTTTAGCGTTGTGACTTCTCTGCTGAAGTCATTAGCCATTGCCTTGTTGTCTTCAAGGTGGAGCAAGATAAATTCTACTTCAGGATGCCTTCCATCATTTAAAATCTGATAAATACATGGACTTCAAAAGTAGTTGAAGACTTATGTGGCTCACACACACACTTACCACATAGGATCATGCATCACTCAGTGTGTATAAAAACTACAAGTACTCGTTTATGCTGATGGGCGGGTGGGTGTGAGAATCCTCTGGCAGAACAGGGGCGTATGAGGGGATGTGCCACAACGGGAGCAAAGCCAGGCCTGGGAGGACCATGCTCAGGAGATACACCTGAAGGGAACAACCCTGAGCAGTGGTCTGTGTGAAAGCGGTGCATGAGGCAGCGGAGGGAGTAGCCAGAGGCAGCTGGTAAGTTAGTCCATGGTCTTTCAGGTAGCTGCCCTGTTGGCAGGAGAGGTCTTGGTAAAATACAGACTCCTGGACACGTGTGAGGCTGCGGAGCCGTGAGGGGGACAGTCTCGAGCCATCTCGGGGTATGCACTGAGCCGACAGCTGATGGGTAGAATGTAAAGGAAATGGGGGCCAATAACACCTGGCCATAATGACGGTGCGGGGCAGCTTCAGAGAAACAACTTGATGCCTTTAGAAGTCACATATGTATGAAATCTGTGCCCTCTCCTGTTACAGCCACCTTCTGTAAATGCCCTTGTCTCTCATCTCATGGTTATTTAAGAAAAAATACATGTAGAATCATAGAATCATAGAATGCTTTGGGTTGGAAGGGACCTTTAGAGGTCATCTAGCCCACCCCCCCTGCATGTAGAGTGACAGCAGCATATGTCTAAACTGGGTGTTTGAGCTACCAGAAGAAGCTATAATGCTTGGAAAATCTGTTTTCTTAACTTCCGCAGGTAGCTTCTAGGAATTTTGATGTGCATCTTTGAATAGTACCTGTATCATCCACTGCAGTCATTAAAATAAGCATTAGCATGTTTTATTGAATATTCAAACCTCTTCCCAGGCCCCCCAGTCCAGTGGAAATCTGTGGAGGAATTTTCTGATCACGATACCACGAGCAGCAAAACTGCCACCAATGTCAGTGTGATCAACCCTTGAGCCGGGTGTTTTTAAAAAAGAAAGAAATTGGAAGATGAGAACGTGATGGATGATGTGACAACAGAGGCTTAAGAGATAATCATTACTTTACAGGACAGAACACTTGAAAAGGATTGCAAGGCAATGCTCTGATCAAGCAAAGCACTTAAGCTTGAGCATAACTGTAATTATGTGATTAGTCTTGTTAAAAGTTCTGTGCTCAAAATTAGGCATACGCAAAAATGCTTTCTATTATTTGGACCGAAGAGTAGGACCCTGATTTAGGATTTAGTGAAGCAAGTGCTTAAGTACTTTCCTGATTAACGGTATAATAATACCTCGGGTATTATGAAAACAATCCTAGGGTTTAGCAATAGGAAAAAAAAAAACAGATGACAATTAATTCTTCTTTCCAATGCACAATACAAGCACTGATTCAGAAGAAATACTAAGCCAAGGTTCAGTGGTGATCCATGAGACCTAAGCATTTGCTTAAGTGCTTTTTAGAGTCATCCTTTTGTGTACTGGGAGCAGAATCAGGAGAGAGGAGCACGACAGGGAGGTGGGTAGTGTAGGAGCGTGGCACATCTGGAGAGCAGTTAAGGAGGAATTACAACAGGGTTTGTAATTCTCAGCTGTCTAATGACATACGTAAAAGCCCTCATTGAGGAAATTCTGTATATCAGAATATAGCAGAAATTATATATAAAAAGAAATTTGAAATTTGTAGCAACTGCTGGAGAAGTAAGAAGTTAATGTTTTACCATTGCATCGTTAGCTATCACAAGGCAAAATGAACTTCATATTGCATTTACCCATTTAAGGCAGGGCTGACTGCTGTGTTTGCTGTCGTATGCTATACCCACCCGCCTCTCATCCAGGACACCTAAATGTCAGATGTTGCCAGCTGAGCTTGAACAGTCAAAACACTCAACACTGCAGCTCATTTGAAGTTAATCTCTGAAGTTTGGATTCAACTAAGGATGGTTACATATAATTTTATGTCTGTATGTTATGTACATTTAATTGTCATTATGTGTTTACTAGAACAGTCTCAATAATCAAATGAACACTATTTACCAAAGGAAGCAAAGCAACCTGTTTCAGAATGTAATTGATTTTAAAACTAATACATTCGCCTGGAGCTCTTCATCCAATCAGTTTGGTTTTATAGGTCTGTCATTTCTCGTTAAGAGGCAGGAGATTTTAAGTGTCAGTATGAGAATGAAGTTGCATGACTAGGTGCCCAATAAATGCCCTGTCAAAAATCTGTGTGCTTAGAGTTATGTTCTCATGTTGATCTACAGCGTGTTGTGACTGTAACTTCCATCAATTCTAATACGGTTATGCGCATAAATACCAAAGCTCTAAGGTAGGAATTTTGTATTTACTGTTTAAGAGCAATATGTCATGTTGTTCACACTTTAATCTAATCTTCCCCCACTGTGATAATGTGGCTGCTGAGGCTGTTGCCCTACTTGGAACAAATGCTACCTCTTTCCTATGAGATTGCATCTCAATTTACTGTGTACGTGGGGATGGCAACCAAGCAAAGAGCTGTGCCCTTCTCTCCCAGTGCTTCTTCAGGCAGCCGCCTTCGAGATGTCCTCCGTGCCTCATTCTCCCAGTGACAGGGATGATAAACCTGCAGTAAAAGTAGTGGACTAGGACACAGTTTGGCTACAGTTTTCCTCTATGACATTTAGCACTCATTTCTCTTTGCCTTTGTCCCTGGGTCTGTGAGATGACTGAAATATTTTTATTTCTGCATCTCTTATCTGGCTTGCCCCAGTGTTTGCCGATCCTTAAGCCTGGTTCCAAGCACTACATGATGTTGGTAACCTGTGCTTATCACAATGGCTACACATCTTAGGCGAAGTCTCAGCGCGCTGTTGTAATACAAGCAAAGACAATAAACAGAAGGTGTTATTTAACATGTACTGAAATACTGTGCTTGCCATCCACAGAACTATCTTACTAACACAGTACTATGGATTTAATACTAGTAAAAACCAAGAGATGGTATCGATCTTAAATGTTTACTTTTAAGAGCACAGGGTCCAGATGAGCTGCCTCTGCATTCAACCCATTCTTCATCATGTTCCAACCTTTCTCCCCGTTCCTCTCGATTCCAGCCTGTCAGTGTTGTGGCTAGATGTAGTCAAGACTAATTCAGAGACTGTTCCACAGTGAGATACATAGGAGCACTGGACCTTTGCATTTGAGTTTACATACAGACTAGTAAAGAAACCAGTGCCAGAGCACGGGCCAGGGCACTGCTCTTCAGTGGCACATACTGTTGTAATGTTAGAAAGGTCCCCGTCACAGTTTTGGCCAACGTCAAGTAGTAGTCCCTAGGCAATTCCTACAAGCACCGTCTGGATTAGCGTGGACCAGGGACAGTTTTTGGTCGGTGAGAGTTCATAGAATCATAGAATCATAGAATGTTTAGAGCAATTCCTACAAGCACCTTCTGGATTAGCGTGGACCAGGGACAGTTTTTGGAGGGTGAGAGTTCCCCTGCAATGGATACAAGCCAAGCCAAGCCAGCTGGTACCCATGGGTGGTGTGGCTATCTCCATAGTGTCCAGGTCACACCTTCCTTATGAGGTGTCTTTAAGGTCCAGGTGCTCTTGGGAGGAGGAAGGGTGGTCCTCCTTCCCCATGGCCTAGAAGAAGCAGTTCTGAGAGATGATGTGTGGTTTGCACATAAACTAAAGCGCTATTAACTATAGCATTTAACAAATTCTACGCTTCAGACCAATCTTCCTGTGATGGGGGACATACTTGGTTTGCTAAAGCCAAGAACTCCTAATGGACAAAGCTGCGTCTTCATGAAAGTTGGGTCAAGATGAGCTCCTTTACCTGGCAGGCTGTCGGGCCTCTGCAAGATAAGAAACATGTTCCTAACCAGGGCATTCTTTTGGCTGGCCCCTTTTAATATTCACTCGGTAGATATAAGCAGATCATGTAAAACTGCCAGAAAAGAGTGTAAGTCATAGCTATTGCTGTTCGATGCTGGTTAAAGACCGTATATTCCCCTAAATGGTTTAGCAGCTTCCACGGATTTGCTGAAGAGTACTTAGAATAAAGCAGTTTATTTTCTAGGACAGGACATTTTAAAATTCAGTCACTTATTCTCGGCTTTTCCAAGCAGAATTTGTGCCAGCTAATCCAGTTGTTTGCAGAGAGGTGGCTACTGCAATCTACGCCTGGCTAAGTGCTAAACAATACAAATGCAGCCAGTGGGAAAGCATTTGCTCGCAAGGCATCAGGGAAAAGAGCTGTAATCCTGTGGTCCATTGGTCTCGTGTTTAGCCGGCACTCATAATAGGCCTGTTATCAAAGTCAGCCAGGATGTCGCAGGCAAAGGATGGTACCGTGAACAACTTATCACTGTTCTCTGCCAACATCTAGCCGATTAAAATGATTCAATCTATAGCTGTTACTCGGAATAATGGGGATGAAGTCGCTGTAATAGATCATTGTTACAGAATCAATTTCCCCCGCTTTGAAAGTGAAATCTCATATTTTATTGCAGTGTATGTATACACACCTCTTTTATTTGTATAGCAACAGAAAGCTGTTAGGCCAAGAGAGTGAGTCGTTCATTGACATTATCTTCTGGCATCCATCTCCAGCCTCTCCCGCCTGGCTGCGGAAGAGGATCCCCATCTATCTCATCCCATCCTTAGGGGTGCCCAGGGCAGCCTCTTCGTGACAGCAGTCAGGGCTTAGTGTCAGGCATTTCTTACGGGGCATCCTCTGCTGTCTCCTCTGCTGATTAACTTGCCAGGGAGAGAGGGAGAGAAGATTGTCCAGTCTTTGAAGGTGATGTTTGCATCCTCAGCCCAGCAAATTTTTGTAACCTTCTGTTAGGGTACGCATCCTCCCCGACTTGGGCATTTATACATGAATAAATTCTAATAAAATGTCTTGCTGTGGGTTCTCAGACCGCCTGGCCGGCTGCCAGCCCCTCCTCTTACAGGCAGCAGGAGGTACCTGCGGCCGCAGCCAAGAAGCTAAAAGCAACATGAGAAATGGGAGAATGTTTGACTAATTCTATGTCCAGGGGCCATACTCAAGGTTAGCAAAGTACAGAGTATTTGCAGCCAAGGAGCTAAAAGCAACAAGAGAAACGGGAGAATGTTTGACTAATTCTATGTCCAGGGGCCATACTCAGGGTTAGCAAAGTACAGAGTATTTTAGAGAACATCCATATCATGGGAAGTTACAAAGGGAAATATGTTTTAACTGGGTAAGCAACACTCCTCCACTTCATATTAGTAAAATTCAGTGATGGAGTCTGAGAATGATAGATCCCCTAGTTTGCCTAAATAAGGGAATACATTACGAAATACATTTGCTCTTAGCAGTTTGCGTGTGCTATGCTAAATGACAGTTTATCTTGCTTCTAGTTGTGCTTCTAAGCAAACGAGCAAGCTGTTGCTACTGCTTTACTTTGTGAGTGTTCACAATTAATTGCTAAATACAAATTTAGAGTTGCCTCTTCCTCTTTAGTGAGAATTAACCATGAAAATGGCAGAAACTTGCTCTTTTATGCAACTCTCAAGGGACTTCTGAAACTTTTTTTTTTTAAATAAATATTGCATTCCTAAATGAAGATGAGTGTCTCTTGTGGTAGAAGTGTTGGAAAAAAACCAGCATAAAACAAGCTTATAATATTTTTACTGTCTTGCTTTTATTTCAAATACTCTGTGGGTTTTGATGCCTGGAAACTTTTATCATCATCTCTGGCAGACAAACAGATAATTTTGATTCTATTTTCCCAATATTTAATCTTTTCCTCTCTTCTGTTTAATCTCACTTTGCGTTTATGAGGAGGATGAACTTTGAGTCACCTGGACTATTCCTTCATATCCTCTTGGATTGTCTCATAATTATACAGTATTAGCAGAGGGATTTTTAGCCTGCCTCACCCTTTCCTTCCACTTTCCACAACATCTTTCATTTTTTAGTCCTCTGGGGTTTATTTTATTATTTGGTGTCTTTGGCACTGGTATGTACAGTGAGATATAAGGCTGCCTGATCCAAGTTATCACAGACAGGTAATAAAGCCCATGCCTGTCTATCACTGGAGGTTTGCAGTCATTTCCCTTGTTGAGAGTCTTCTGCAAGCACTTGAGATGCTGCTTAGGGCCTTAAAAAACACACCCTCCAAAAGCATATGAATCCAGGCACATAAAATTATCTTATTTAAAACAGAATCAATGCGTTGAAACCGAAGACATTCTCATAATGAACTCTGTGGAATGGGGCTGGATAAACCCTTGTAAATGTACCTGATTTTCATCTGTCTCTCTGCAAAAACCTGCAGTTTTTCTGTGTTCCTCATGCCATGTCTGTATTTTATCTTTTCTTTTGTCCTGTCCTTGGTGCTGTCGAAGAGTCTGCCTTCACGTGGGACTTTGGGATAGTCAGACTGTGCGGTGTAATTTGCACACATGATGAATGGAAGGACAAAACTAAAACCAGTCTTCCTAAATGCTCTTAATTTTGTTTGTTTAAAAAAGTCTGGGGGAATGATCCATTATTCTAGCACATCAGCTTCTACTACAGTGCTACAGACTTTATAACCGATGGTTAACTAGGGAAAGGACATATTTACTGAAATGCGTGTATTTTCCAAACGGTTTAAGCAGAGCGCTTACTTGAACTGGTAACTTTTGCTTAAGAGCTTGATTACTGAATAGCTAGCCATGTTTTTTTAATGAAGTTACTATTTTTTTTTTCATGAAGTCACAGATTGCCTTGTTCCACATGTTGAAGATGCAGAGATTCATAACAAGACATACAGGACTGGCGATAAGTTAATAATCAGCTGTCATGAAGGATTCCAGATCCGTTACCCTGACTTAGACAACATGGTTTCAATCTGTCAAGACGATGGAACATGGGATAATCTGCCCATTTGTCAAGGTTTAGTACACCAGCACCTCCTGTTTTATAGCTCATGCGCCTTGTGATAGTTTGCCAATATTTTTTTCTACAGTTGTAAGGATGTCAGTGTCCTGCTAAGTCCCACTGTACAGTATTTGAATAGTGCTGCTACTAAGATTTTTTCATTTCTCTTCCCTGTTGCTCAGTGCAAGAAAGAAGATGCCGCTTTCTGAACACATCCATACTTAAAATACTACTTCAAATATTGCTTTTTGTTTGCTAGTCTAAAATCTGACACAAATACATTGCATTAAAAAAAAAGGGGGGGGGGATTAAATCAGCCAGAAGTTCAGCAAAAGATCTGATGGGCAACTGACATTTTTGCACCAGTGAATTTCTGGAAAGATTTAAGCTTCTGACTGCTATTTACCTGTCTTTGCCTTTTGCAGTGGGCAGGGGTAGAGGAGAGAAGCTGGAACCTGTTCTTCTATTGGAGTTTTCAGCAGAGTTGTTGATCGGGCTGACAGTCCATTAAACCCATATGTATTGACTGAAAATTCAGGGTGTGCAAAGGAATGATTTTGGCCAGAAACGCCATTAGCTCTAGAACTAGCCCCCCTAGTGTGGGATCCCAGCTTTACTTAAGACTGTGAGAAATGGCCGGGGGTAAGCCAGCTTCAGTGAATGGAAATTCAGCAACCCTGGGCTGCTATTACCTTTAACGTTTCTAACACGCGTGTGTTAGTACCATTGACTTGGTTTTATCCAGTTCACATCTTGGTAACAAGCTTAACCAGCTGAACAGCATCGAGAGATTATAACTATCTGTGCTAAGGAGAAGACTGGGTTAGTGTTAACTTACCTCAACCACCCCTGTCGTCTCCTTCAGCTGACGGTTCTCTTTAGGCACAGACACCGTCACATCAGTTTGCAGAGTCGGGGCAGGCAGGCGGGGGAGCTGGGACACTTCTCGGCAGTGACAGTGGCAGGGTCAGACACAAAAGTCAGGGCTTGGCGTTTCTGCTGTAAAATTATGAGATTGATGGGTGCCAGGGTGTGAAGTCATAGGAGCTTAGTTTGTATGGGTCTCCATGGCTAGGACCCTCAGTTTGGGGCACACCAAACCGTGTCTCAAGGTCTTGTCATAGACTGTGGTACAGGCATGTAGAAATCTAGGCAGCTTACAGGGCTAGCTCAGTGTATCTGAAGAGGGCCAACAGAAAAGGGGAGCTTTCAAAGTGGACACTAATTTCAGGGTATCTTAGCAGCAACGGTGTGTGGCAGTATGAAGTACACAGCCCATTTTGGGAGCGGGTGCACCTCACATCTAATTAAGGTAGATTAAGACTCTTGCAGCTAAGTGAGGTGAATGCTCATAAGATTAATTTGTAGGTACTGTATTGCTAAAGATGCAGGTGGAAATTTTGTGAGAGCCAGTATTAACTGGGTAAGCCAAACTACCCCAAGAACCCCTTGGCTTGTTACTTTCTTCTGTTGCTGTATTTATACTGTGAAACACAATCAATTGCTGCTACTCAACATTCAATATTAACTGGTTTTTTAAAAAAATTAAAAATAAAACAGTGCTAATAAAAGTTATGAAATCAATTGAACAAGAGCAAAGTGCTGTAACGGCCACACGGGTAGGGAATAGGCAACTCAGATTTCACATATCTGCCATATTTTGCCAAATTCTATAAACCTGTCCCAAAATTGACTCCAGAATTTTCTTTTTGCTATGTCAAGCACTAGTAATATCAAAGGCGCTTGTCTGCTTGCACTAGGTGAGCTGTCAGTTACATTTCTATGGCCCTTTGATTACAACAGGCGGGGGAGTCTCATGACACAAAGATGACTTTTTTTCTGGGAGAGCAGTGGGAAAGGATTGCAGAGCGTATAAAAACCCAACCTCAAACTCTTTTTGCCACGAGATAATAATGATAATTACTGATCTGGAATGATGTGAATGACTTAGCAAAAAAAAAGTCAAAATGAAGTTTTCAAGCAGCTTGAGGTGTTTGGAGACCTAGGGATTTTCACAAACACTTGGCTCTCATACAAATTCAAGTAAATCTCTGTCTTGCTCCCTCTTTCTGTCCCACTGGAGGATGCTTCTATCGTCCTGCTCAGTGGGCTGCTTGGTTTGCAGGAACTGATGTGTTATGTGTGGGGTGTACTCGATCAGGGGTATGAGCAGTAGCCCGTAGATAGGATGCTTGAAGCTTTATTTGAGCAGGAAGATAACCAGCTAGTAAAATAGCTATCAAAACCATTGCTCTGATAGTACAGCATGCTGTAAAAACCTTTCAAGCTTTTTCTTTTTTTTCATCCCTCTCCTTCCACAGACCACTGCAAGGGTCTTGAAATGCTGCCGAGACTTTTTCTTTTAGATGCCAGCATCTTACAAGAAGTTCTCAGACTGATTTTAGTTTCCCCCTCAGGCTTAAAATTATGAGAGTCCTATGAACATCCTTCACAAATTCTTAGTAGTGGCAAGAGACCTATTTATGGATTGCCATAATGCAGCTCCTGTTAGTCTCATAACTTTATAATATTGTTTTTCATTCCCTGATTACTAATCATCTTTCCTCCACATTACTGCAAATTAAAAAATCAACAGTATTAAATATTACCCAGAGGGTCATTTCTAAGGCCATGGGGAATTATTTTTTTCCTCTAGCACAAACTCTTACCTAAATACCAGCTCAAAACAGACTTTGAATGTATGTGAATGACATGTTGTGAAGTCATGTCATCTATTAAAACCACTGCTCTTTCTTGCACCAAGTATGGTTGGTGACCATGTAGCAGCTCAGTACCATCCATGGTACAAATCCTTCAGAACTAATTCCAGAAGCAGAACGTAGTCTCTGACTACAAGTACAATTTATGGTGATAACAGGTACCTTAAATTTTTGATAACCGAATCTGAGATGTTGTTCAGTGTTTATCATGGGACTGCTCATAGGAAGTCATGTCCCTTTAGACCTCCTCAAACTGGAATTTCAAAATCATTAATTCTGCCTCCAAATCTTTTACAGTTGTTGCATTTTGTCACAGGAGCAGTTTTAATATTAAAGATGGTTTACATGCCTGTCAGTTTTAAGAGGAGGAATAAAGCTCATGGTTGATATAAATGACAATCTTTATTTTGTTAAAGATTCTACCTCAAAAAGAAATTGCCATCTGCTAAAGCAGTGAATGTTTGTGAAACAAAATGCTGTCATTTTCAGTAAACCTTGCCTGGATCTGCTGAGAGTGAATCCCACGCTAGCAAGGCGTGTGGGCTAAACAATTGAAGGGTTTGAAGCAGGCTAACGAGGCATATGTATCGGAGGGAGATGGGGCAGGCATGCTGTTCATGATAGAGAAGATGAAAAGTATTGCATTCCTCAATTTGGGAATTATAACCAAGATGTGTGAAGATGTCTGAGATAAGCACCTTATAATAAAAGATACCTCCCTCTTCTTAATTTGCAGGTTGCCTGAGGCCATTGGTTCTTCCTCATAGTTACATTAACATATCTGAGTTCGAGTCCTCCTTCCCCGTAGGAACAGTGGTGTATTATCAATGCTTTCCTGGATATAAACTAGAAGGGACAGAGTTCCTTGAGTGCATGTATAACCTTATCTGGTCAGATAGCCCACCTAGGTGCCTTGATGTGGAAGGTAAATGTCTTATTGTTTGGGGTTTTTTCAATTTTGCAAAATCAGCATGCTCTATGTGATTTTAACTCAGGGTTACAACCACAGTTTTACTATATGTAATGTTTCCGCAGGCCATGCAGAGTGTATCTGGGCTTTGTTGCGTACAACCTGTTGTGGTTCGCTGCACTTTCCGTTCTTGGTGTTCCCTAACTGCTGCTTGCTCTCTCGGTGTCCCAAAGTGCAAGAGGGGAAGCTCTTAAAAATGATTGCTTTGCCCTTAAAATGTAAATTCTTTGCAGCTTTTCTAATAAACATACTGAGGAAGTTATGGAATTGACATTCACGTGCAGATGGTCAGAGTTGCTATAGCTACGGATAGATTTCCATGATAAACTAAAAGATACTCAGTCGAGACTCTTACTTTGGGCTGTGCTGGCTGCAAACATGATTCAGTGCTACACGATGCCGCATGGTTGAATATTTGTTGTCTCTCATAGTAGTTAACCTTAAAGAAGGATTTGCAATTAAAACAACTGAGCTAATTTCATGATTAGGAACATAAAAACCATTCAGTGTGAAACAGAGGTAAATCATACCACGCCAAAAGGAATAATCTGTAATTATAGCTGCAGTGCTGGAATGGAGGACATCGTAGTGCATTTATATTTGCATCCCATACATTTAAAACAAAGATACCGAACAGATTGCTCCATACACTGTCAAAACCTTGTGAACTACCTTCCTCCATCTTCATACAGCATCTTGAATGAAACATCCTAGGAAGTCATCAGAATCCACATACATCCTCTACATTTCATTCCCCTAAAAGGACTACGTTTTTGCTCTATTTCAAGCCTTTGAGGAAGCTATCCATATGTAGAATTTAGCTAAAAGCAATTATAGGAATTCATATGTGAAGCTTATGTCACTGAGCTAAATGCTAAGCATTCTGGAAGTGCAGAAATTTGCCAACAGCATCAACAAAGTGATACACTGCACAAAAATAACAAAATGATCCTTATTTTTAACTGACAGTTCAAGTTCCAAAATTCAAAAATGCCTTTGCAATTGTGGAGTGACATAACAAGATGATTTTTTTTTTATTCTTTATTTAGCACACCGTAAAAGATTAATCCCAAATGAGCTCTATGTAAAAGCCATTTTTGGAAGGTTGGTTTGTTGTTGTTTATAGCATGGAAAATACATTTAAAATCAGAAGAGCCCTGTTAGGCTTAATCCAAACAGTATAACTGTCTTGACAAAAATGACAATTCTCCAGTTAGGAAGATAAGAGCTTTAAATACAGAAAATCAATTGTATGAAGCAGAAGAAGTTGTGTCTTACCCTCACTTAATAGAGGTGAGCGTTCCAGCTCCTGTCAAAATACCTGAGAAAACTCATGCGCTTGTTGTTTATTGCTTGTATTATAAAGTCATGGAGAGGCTCTTTTTTCTTGATTTAAAACATGAGATAAGAACAGCTGCCCTGACAGTTCTACCTTTTAAATAACACGTCAAAAGTTATCATCCGCAGTCAGCTATGATGATCTGTGATGGGGGGGGTCAGTGTGTGCCAGACGCTGTGTCAAGGCCATCTCAGAGGCCTCCTGAGTTTTGATTTAGATCCAGCCTCCCTTTTAATCGCTTTCTTATTGCTCTTTTTATATGTTAAAACTTTCCGTGGTGATTTCGTGGTGGCGTCCCATCTGTGCATGTGTTGAGTGAACCACATGAGGCCAAAGCCTGGAGCATAACGCTGGCAAGAGCAGGTTCTCCTCAGCTTTGGGGCTGTCCCTGCTGCTGTTGGGGGCAGAAGGGAGAGCAGCATCACTCGAAAGGTCACCCCTGACAACTCCCCTTGTGAATCCTGTTGTAGGGATCCTTCAGCTGGTATGCAGCCAACTTCAAAATTAAATCCAGATCGGGCATATCAACTTGAGATGCCCTCGTTTGAAAGCATTTATTCAAGTGATTTATGCAAGGAGTGCCAGTCTCCAGGAATCTTGTTAGAATCCGCGCCTCTTAATTAGTGGACAAAACTCCCTCCCTGCGTATTTTTTATTCTGCACCTTGCATACCAATGTCAAGCTCATTTTTCAGCATTCCTTTTATGTGTGAGGTATAATCTCGCCAAGCAGTATTTTTCACAGAGGAAATCTGCAAATAACAAATTAATTCCATTTATTTATTTCCATGACCAATTCAAAATTTATTCTAACGACATTTCCTGCTCAGTATTTTAATATGGTAATGATTAAAAGCAAATGGTTGTTAGGAAGCTATAGTAAACCATTTTAGGGCTTTTATTCTGCAATAAACAATGCTGCTTACAGCTTTCTCGTTTTAATATATGTTCTTCTTGAAGCCTTCAATTTCTTAAATGTGTGGGTAATCACACAAATCCTATACGTCAATCTCATGAATTTTTCCCTCTTTGTTAGGCCAAGTAAATTCTGAATGAAGGGTTTGTAACTCCATTTAAATAAAGTTACACCAGGGAGCTGATAGCGGTCATACTGAAGTGCAGCCAAGACTGCAATGCTATACAGCGGCTTCTCAGAAACAGCTGCTTGGACCTGATCAGGGAGGTTGTTATAGCTCGGGTGAATAAAGATGCCTCTAGTTCAGATTGCCAAGCATTTACTGGTATGAGATCCTCTTCTTAAATGCTTGTACCTTTGCCAAATTTAAAACATTGGGATTGATTTTTGAGTGTCTGCCTCAAGCTGAATCATTTGGGAAGCTTCAGTTGAAATGGTTCAGCTATATCTGAGAATGGCAGCAGAGGAAGTGGTGGTGTTTCACCAGTGCTAGAAAACTTAACAGGCATTTAGAGGATAAGATGAAACATCTTAACACTGAATTTTCTTCTCCTTTAATTCCCCGATTTACATCTTTAACTTTTTTAATATCTTTTTTTTTATAGTGGAATTCCATAATTATGCAAAAGTTCTTTTAAATTTCTTCCGTACTGAAACTTGTTAGATGCTTCAAGGATATATAAAACTCTAAGGAAAATGTTAATTTACTTACTTATATGATTTTTAACTTTCCAATTTTGGGTTAATCATCCATCTGTTGAAATTAATGTGAGTTAGTGATTGCCTTCTGTAAAATCAGATATGCAAAAGATAGCGGGGCACCCTTAAATTGAAGATTACCACATGGGGTTTAAACATTAATTGTAAAATCAGATGGCTTCCAGAAACACTGGGGGAGAGTAAACACTTGAAAACATACTGGTATGGAATTCTGTTAGATGAAATGTGTAGAACTACAAAATGTTATGATATGATACTTTAAGGTGAATAAAGACATTACACAGGGTTTGGAGAAATTAAAAAAAAAGAAGAAAAAAAGCCTGGCCATTAGTACTTTGGGAAGATGATCTGCATATGATTACACACCTTGCCATCTGGACTCTGAATTTTAATCTTTCATGCCCTTTGGAAGATTTCCAAGAATATGTAAGGAATGGTTCTTATAAATCTAGGGGTGAAGCAGGCAAAGAGAGGAAAGGCTGGGAGAATTTGATCTTAGTCCTAATGCTGGAATATAAAGGATGGAGAGTGTAATTGGGAATTCCTGCCTTTGTATTTAAGAGCAAAAGGGAAAACAGGTTGATTGAATTTGCAACGGACATGATGCTGTTATCTGGAATGTCTGGTTTCAGCATCACCCCAGCTGAACACAAAAGCCGGTCCTGCAGGAAATCAATATCAAAACTTCATTCTACATGTGAGAATCAACAGATTCTCTAGCTGAGGTTAAGCTTGAAAGAATGTTAAATAGAAAATATTTCAAATTTTTGTAGGTAGATTCAAAATAACAATAAGGCAAACATGAGGAACAGACTTCAAAGGAGAGAGTCAATGATTAGAAGACAGGAAGAACAGAGGAAAACTGAAGGCATTTCAGAAGTCTGGTGTACAAAACCACCTCATTGTGGGAGGAGGTGAAAAGATATAACACTAAGCTAAAAACTGATTACAGAAGGGATCCTGAAAGCTATAGAAACTATGAGAGAAAGATAGGAGAAGAAAGGAATTAAGAAAATTGCACAACAAACCAGAAGTGCAAGGGAGCAAAAAAAAAACTATCTAAAGCACCAGGAAATTTCTGAAGAATAAAAGGGGGTTAGTCATTTAGTTAATTTAAACCACCAAAGTGTGCTACATATAAAAAAATACTCTGGAAAGACAGGCAAGAATACAGGACAGAGCTTTAAAATTATTCTTCTCACAAACCTGAGGACAGACACTCATAGAGAGGGTCTGATAATTCTGACATGGAGCCTAGAAAGTAAAGAGCATGAAAGAGCACGGGAGGAGGGCGATATTACAGGTGAAATGCTATAGTCGGTTAATATTTCAAAACAAAGTAGTTTAAACTTTCTAACCAATTACACACAGGATGCTTTGAAAGCTTCAAAACTCTTCATTTTTATATAACAATTGCTAATGCCATAAACTGTGATTGACGCCAAGCTATACATTTGATAAACGTTCAATGCCCTTAAAATAGTTTAAATTCTTTATGGAACATACAGCAGTGCACTGAGAAAAAAGATACAAGTCAGCCTGTAATCATTTTATGTTCAGGAATCAGAATAAAGTAAGCAATCCTAAACCTGAGATATTGTACGTTAGTACGAACAGATTTCTCTCTGTGTTTCTTTGTTGACATTGAGAAGGCTTTAGATAAATTCCAACATGATGCATATCCTCAGGGAAGATAATGTTGATGCAGCAGATCTCCAACAGATAAAAATCCTGTAAAGCGAGCAGAGGGCAGCAATACAAGCAAGCTGTGAAAAACTGTGGTATTAAGAAATTAAGAGAGGTAAATACCAGTATTCTGTTCTATGTTTCCACCTACTCCACTTGCAGGCAGGAGGGAGAATAAATTAAATACTGCTCAACTACCAAAGAGGTCATCCGAGTTAACTGAGTTAATGTTAACATATGACGCATTGATAGCCTTGTTTTTAATAGCTCTGACCAGAATGGCATGTCAGAATAT